TATCACTGCATTAAGATTGCCTAAACGAATGAAAATACTTGTCATGACATATCCGAGTATGTTAAAGCATAAACTTGAATATTGTTTGATGGATGACATGAGAATTGAAGTGACATGCCTTGATGATTAACAATTTTCTGTTCCCATTTTGCGGTCTCTCTAGATAAGGATGCTAGCGGTAATTTAACTGAGTATTAGCTTCACTCTTACCTCCATCCTAGATTGTATCATTTTACTTCTTTGCATGGTGTTTTGTTTTTATTTTTCCTTTCATTTTTGTTTGTGTTGCACTGGCTTTTTTTTTCTTTTTTTTTAGATGTGTGATGCACCAATTAGTATTATATATTGATATATATTTGACAGATTGTACAGAAGACAGCACAGCATCCTTTGTAGTTAAATTTGTTGAAAGCACTCACTGTGTTACTGATATTGCACTGCGACTCAGGCATCGTTCCCTTGCATGTACATTAGTGATTTTTGATAGTTGCTTTCATTAAAAATTTTGGTAGTTTGCCACATAATATTTTAGGGAAGGAAATTCAATACCTATACTTGAATACAAATACAGAAGATTAAGAGGAAAATATCTTTACAGTTATTTATTTTAAAGAACAAGTTAAGTACATAATTTCATATGTGCTGTGGTAGATGTAAGACAGGTGTATGGCACATGCCTTTATTTTGCACTGCAGAGAGAGAAAAAGAAAACAGAATGTGATATTTGTTATATTCATACTTCTACCCCCAGAAAATGTTTAGCTTTATTATATGGCAACCAACTGTTATTATTATCATTATTCTTTATTATTGTTATTATTATAAGTATTACTATTATTATCATTATTTATATTATTGTTATTATTGTTGTTATCATTATCATTATTATTTTTTGGTATTGTTATTTTCTTCATTTTTACTTCAAGTTTTGACAACCTAGAGGCCATCTTTATTGTAGTGATTTTTTATAGCTTCCCTCTAGTTCTTCTCCTTTTATTCTCTTGGAGCTTTAACCTAGATTTAGAAAAAAAAAGTTTCATGTTTTAGACCTTACTTTCCCCATACCTTTTATATTACTACTGTGGTTTCTAAAATAAGATTCTTTCAGGGTAAAACTGTTGTGTTGGCTTTTAGAATAGATATGAGCTTTTACTCCTTTTTATTTGTGATTTTTCTCCCCTCTCCCCTCCCCTCCAAATCTTAATAATATAATATTATCATCATTATACTGTTGTATTAATTTAGCTGTGGATATTTTCACTGGATAAAGCAGCCTAGCTTTTTAAGTTCAAGGAAATATAATGTGGTTGCAGTGATACTCTGGTTATGCCTAATATGTGTGATACATCCTATCTCTTTTGTTTAATGGTAGCAAAAAGATCAGTCAGTGATAAGTGTATTTTTTACATCGTCACAAAGTGTCTTTTTGGTATGTGTCTATTTTTATGGGGCATGTCTTAAATTTTTTTTTTTTTTTTTTTTTTTTTCTTCTTTTTAACTGAGCAAAGACTGATCTTTTCATTGACTATCCCATACTTAGCCCCACATCCGTGTCTGGGATAGCGTGAGCCTCAACACTCTTCACATCATTGGCATCAGTGATATTGAACGCTCGGTGGCCTGCCTGGCCTTCTCCAAAGCGGTATGTGAGAATTTGTTCAGTACCGATAATCTTTGTTTATTTTTTATCCTTTTTTTTTCCCCCTTATTTTTTGCTGAATAATGGTTTCCAGGTGAAACATATTTTTATCATGGATTTTTATGATTTGTAATTTAACATTGGAAATAATCCAGATTTGTAAAACTTGTTCCTGTGTGAAATAGGAACTTTAAGAAGCTCTGATGAGTTAACTTTTTGTCTTCTCAGGATGGTGGGAGTCTCCTGGTAGCAGTTGATGAAGCCCCCGACCATAACATGTCTGTCTGGGATTGGTCACGAGGAGAGAGAGGTTACAAACTCCTGGAAACCAAAGTGAGTTACCATTTTTATCTTTTTATATTTTGGGATGAATATACTTGATGTCTAGAGTGTGTGGCTGTTTCAGTTGGGTAGTACTGTACTGTGTTTTTTGGGTGATTAATGTATTTGAATTGTGATATGTTTATATACTGAGTGAATAGATACTTGATTTTAGATTGATTTAATTTCTGGTTTTATGACCGACCCTCCACATCCTTTAATGCCTCATCGTCATTTCGCAGTGTGCTGCTGATCAGGTCCTTGCTGTGGACTTCAGCCCTGTGGACCGCAACACCATCATCACATGCGGGAAGAACCACATCTCCTTCTGGAATTATGAGAGTGGGATGCTTGCCAAACGAATGGGCATCTTTGAGAACAGGGAGCGGCCCAAGTATGTCACGTCCATCTCCTTCACCGACACAGGCAATGTGATTTCGGGTGACTCGAACGGCAACCTGCTCATCTGGCAACGAGGTTAGTGTTGATCACATTACAGTATTATATTTCAGGGAGGATTCTCCTGGTGAACTACAGAAAAAGGACATTCTTTAAAATTTCTTCAAGATGATTCTGTGATTCTTATTTTGATATTAGAACTTCAAAATTTTCTTGAAAAATGGAGGAAGTAGAATAAATCTTTCATTGTTATCATTCATCCTTTACATATTTTCCTCAGTGTACATCATCTATGTAAATGTTTTATAGGTGGCAATACAGTGTGCAAGATGGTTCGGGGAGCACATGAGGGCCCAGTGTTCTCCATCTTGGTGCAGAAGGATGGAGCCATCATCACCGGAGGGAAGGACGGACGCATCATTGAATGGGACCGTGATCTGGAGCGCACTGGCAATGTGATTGAGGTAACCTATGTTTTTTTTATTGTTAATTGTTTGTTTTCTACATGAAATTGATGGTAACTATTTTATAATATTTAATGTATTTCTTGATATTAGTATTGTTATGATTCTTATAAATATGATAATGATAATTGTAATAATTGTAATAATAATGATATTAACAATATAATTATTGTTATTGTTGCTTTATAGTTACTGTATTATCATCATCCATTATAGTAATATTGATAATATATTGCTGCAAATTTTCTGTTGAAGGTTCCTGAGCAATTTGGTGCCCCACGTGTGGTTACCTCAGGCCGAGGGACACAGTTGGTTGTGGGTACAACCAGGAATTGTGTTCTTGGAGGAACATTCACTTTTCCTCTTAGACCAGTTATGCAAGTAAGTAATTGTCTTTTATTTCATAATTTCCTAAGATTGTAAATCATTCATTCAAGAGAGTTTACTTTTTTTTCTGCCTAATCCTTGTTATCATCATAAAAAAGAGACGAGATTTGAAGGATAGTTGAATTGACAATTAGACGAGTGGGTAAGTATACATATATTCAATTTTATTACATCTTATAAAGGTGGCATTAATTAGTTCTTATCCTTTTCCTTCTGTGTCTTCCTTTTCCTATTCCTCTTCACCCTTATCCTCTTTGTCTTATTATTATTGTTATCGTCATTATTATGATCATTATTTTCTATAGGGTCACACTGAAGAACTGTGGGCTTTAGCTCCTCATCCTAGCCAGCAGCAGTTCCTGACAGCGGGATATGACCGTACCTGCTACCTGTGGGACACCATGGCTCACACTATTGTTTGGAGCAAGGATATTGGGGTAAGAAGTGTTTCTTTCTGGAATGTACTGAAGTAAATTGCAAGGCCTATTACCTTTGCTGAGCTTTTTATTTGTATGAGGTGTGAATTAAGTAATTTAACTTTTTAAGCAACTTAGGTACTGATTTCTGAAATTGCCTTAGGAACATGCCCAGTCCGCTGCCTTTTCCAATAATGGAGAAATAGTAATCATCGGTACGACCAGTGGCCGTTGGTTCGTCATGGATTCAGAAACCCGAGAAATGTATTCACAGCACCAAGATGGAAATGAGCCAATTCAGGTAATACTATTGTTATTATTATGTTTGACATGTGTTTGATCAATGAAAATGGTAGAGTTGTATTTTAAAAAATCAAAAAGGTATTTAAAAAGAATAAGAAATAATTTATAGTCGTTGTTATAGTAGTAAGCTTGTTGTTTGCACTATATATCAAAATCTATTATTTGATTGCCTTTCCTTTTGTTTGTTAATTTCGTGAATATAATAATTTTTTCATACACAGGTTCTCAGATTTTCTCCAAGTGGACAATATCTTGCTGTAGGCTCAAGGGATAACAACATCTACGTCTACCAAGTGTCAGAAGATTGCCGCAAGTACACTAGAATTGGTAGATGCCAGGTATGTTTATTCCCTTGTTTTAGCAACTATTTATAGATTATCTCAGGATTAAGGAATTTTGTTAGTATGACTTTTGTCTTTGAGGAAGAGTGAAAGTTCTGTCTCGCAATATAACCATCATGAGGCTTCTCTTTTCATGCATACTAAAGGCTAAGACTAGAAAAGCCAGGTACCAAAGCATATCATCAGTGGTAAGCATCATACCTTATTACCCTTCTTACAAGTGCATATAAGCTGAGTGTGTCCCTCTGCAAATGCTTTTTTTACTCTGGAATGTGATGGTGTGTGTGGGAAGGTTTTGTATTACTGTTATTTTAGTGTTGTATGCTAATGGGATGTTGTTTTCCATTCTTTGTCCTTTTTTTTTCAATGGTAGATTTTTAACGCTTATTTACTTTATGCTTTATGGGTACACCAGGCATGAAATTGAATTACTCTTCTTGTTTTATTGGATTTACAGTGCGCGTATGTTGGAAAATATTCAAGAACTGTTACCTGTAAGTACGCATCTGTCCTGGGTTTCTTTGTGGATTAACCTTTTTGAGTCTGTTTTCAGGGTCACTCGAGTTTTGTGACTCATCTAGATTGGTCTGCTGACAGCCAGTTCCTGCAGTCAAATTCAGGCGATTATGAACTGCTATTCTGTAAGTGTATGCTTAAATTTTGTGCCTATTCTTACTATTACTGGATTTCTCAACATAACGTTGCATGAATATAATTCCCGTTCACAGAAATATGAAAAAATAATACAATTTCTGTCATCTCATATTCAATATTCTTCCCTAGGGAATGCTGGCCTGTGCCGCCAAATTGTACAAACATCGCAGATGCGAGATGTGGAATGGGCAAGCAACACCTGCACTCTCAACTTCTCAACCCTTGGCATCTGGCCTGAGGGAGCTGATGGCACAGACATCAACACCTGTGCTAAAGCCAACCAGTCGTCATTGCTGGCGACAGGTGATGATTTTGGGAAAGTGAAGGTGTTTGCCTTCCCTGCTTGCAATCAAAAGGTATGATAAGGTTTTTGTTATGCATATTTTTAATTAATTAATTAATTATTTATTTATGTATTTTATTTATTTATTTTATTTTATTTATTTATTTATTTTTTTTATATATTGATTGGGTTCAGTTTTTGTAATTGATACTAGTAATAGCAAACAATGCAAAGTGGGTTTACCCCTCAACTGATATTGCTATCTGCTATAACACGTTCAAAAAAATAGAATGCCATATTAACAGACCAAATTTGATATTAGAACCAAAGCTCCTTCAACATCAGACTGTTTCAGGTGCTTCTTCATTTAGAAAAACTTTTGAAATACAATAAAAGAAATCAAGATATTAGATTCACCAGCATTCTGAATCCTTTTTCTTCTTTTTTTTTTGTAAGGGTATACAACTGGGAGAGAAGGATCTTGTATTGATTAACATGTTTTTAAAAGACAGGATGTTGATAAAAAAAAACTTGGAACTTTATATATTATGAAATATATAATTTTTATTTAAGCACCAAACCTCTATACAAATAAAAAATGTTCAGTTTAGTTCATAATGTAACCCTTATAATTGTATATGCCCCTTCTCCACAAAGGGGCTTTTATATAGCAAATATTTACAGCATCTTTATGAATGTTCAAAATCTTTGTCCATCTATTAACAATTTAAATTACTTATGACCATCTTTTCCAGGCTCGATGCTACGAGTATGGCGGGCACAGCAGTCACGTAACAGCTGTCGGGTACTTGCACGACGACTCGCGACTCATCTCCACTGGGGGTCGAGACACAGCCATCATGCAGTGGGTCGTCTCAGCTGCTTCTTCTTCTCCCTCCTCCTCCTCCTCCCACCGCTGAAGGAGACAGGAGGAAATAGAGAAGGAGAAGTGTGACCTGTGAAATAGAATCTGAAAAGTGGCTTCTTCGTGCGAGGTGCAGACGACACTCTTATTTACAGATTAATTTTTTTAAAGACTTTTTAAAGCCTTTTGCTAATACATCTTGTACGGTTGTGTATTACTTTACAGTTTATTGAATTTTTATAGCTACTGGATGTTGACTTGTATTTAAACATTAATCTCTCTTTTTTTCAACTAAGTAACAGAAGCTGTGCTTTGGTTAAAATGTGCTTTTATTTTATGAAAAGGATCATAGATGGATGAATGAAAGAGTATTTAAAAATAAATAGCATAACTAAGTCCAACCTGTGAACTTGATAGATTAATCAGAGGATCTGGTTGTGAAGAAGAAAAAGAAATCGAGATGGTGCTGGTTTATGAAGCGGTGTTCTTTGTGTAACAGAGAAGTATTTGGATAAATGGAAAGGGATATCTTAATCATCTCTCTCCTTTTTCTTTTTTTTTTATCCCTCCTTGTTATATATAGTGTCCTCTTATTTCTTGTGCTAATGGTGTTGAGAAAGGTACTGGTCATGTCTTAGTCTTCCTAAATAAGCAGACTGAAACAAGTAAAAATGAAGTGATGAGGTAGTTTAGCACATAATCTTTCTATGTTGTTTTGTTATGATTGAAGTCTGTGTTGAAAATAATTTTTACCTCTTGTATGCCCTTTCTTTGACATCTATCTTACATATTTATATTCTACATATTTGGCTCCCTGAAGGACATCATTTTCACCAAGGAAATTTTGTCTGTATTTCCAGCTATGTTCATTATGCTGATGATGTCACAATCAGTATGTCTTCTCATTATGGATTTTTTTCTGTAAGTGGGAGATATTGATAATATTTTTTGACAGGAGTGAGGAGATAGCATTCAGGCTGGATGTGCAAAGTCTTCTAAATGATCTGTGCTTCCTGAAGTATTATTTGGTTATTTGTATATTATGGTCAGCCAGGCATAACCAGATAAATATTGTAAGGTTACATATGGAAGATATTTTTATATATACACACATGGTTGACTGATTTCCCTCTAGTTTGTTTTATATGAGAATGCATCCCAAGATCTTGAAGTTCAAGCATGTCAAAATGAATGAATCAGTCAACATGCAACATTCTGTTGACATGTACCAATAATTGGGATGACAGGTATATGGTGGTGGCAACAGACATCACACAACTTTTAACTAAAGTGAGCAGTCAAAGTTTTAATCATGTTAGCTCTTGTGTAACATGTTGTACAGTCATCTGAATTTTTTAAACCATGGTTTATATACACAATGATTGTATTCTCAACACATCTCAGAAAGACCAATCCCAAAATCATAGT